TGTCAGTGAGCGTTATCTCTATGTATCAGTATTATGTATTGTGACAGTGCACTACATTACGTGTTATATATTTTTAGTATCTGTTGTCAGTGAGCGTTATCTCTATGTATCAGTATTATGTATTGTGACAGTGCACTACATTACGTGTTATATATTTTTAGTATCTGTTGTCAGTGAGCGTTATCTCTATGTATCAGTATTATGTATTGTGACAGTGCACTACATTACGTGTTATATATTTTTAGTATCTGTTGTCAGTGAGCGTTATCTCTATGTATCAGTATTATGTATTGTGACAGTGCACTACATTACGTGTTATATATTTTTAGTATCTGTTGTCAGTGAGCGTTATCTCTATGTATCAGTATTATGTATTGTGACAGTGCACTACATTACGTGTTATATATTTTTAGTATCTGTTGTCAGTGAGCGTTATCTCTATGTATCAGTATTATGTATTGTGACAGTGCACTACATTACGTGTTATATATTTTTAGTATCTGTTGTCAGTGAGCGTTATCTCTATGTATCAGTATTATGTATTGTGACAGTGCACTACATTACGTGTTATATATTTTTAGTATCTGTTGTCAGTGAGCGTTATCTCTATGTATCAGTATTATGTATTGTGACAGTCCACTACATTAAGTGTTATATATTTTTAGTATCTGTTGTCATTGAGCGTTATCTCTATGTATCAGTATTATGTATTGTGACAGTGCACTACATTACGTGTTATATATTTTTAGTATCTGTTGTCAGTGAGCGTTATCTCTATGTATCAGTATTATGTATTGTGACAGTGCACTACATTACGTGTTATATATTTTTAGTATCTGTTGTCAGTGAGCGTTATCTCTATGTATCAGTATTATGTATTGTGACAGTGCACTACATTACGTGTTATATATTTTTAGTATCTGTTGTCAGTGAGCGTTATCTCTATGTATCAGTATTATGTATTGTGACAGTGCACTACATTACGTGTTATATATTTTTAGTATCTGTTGTCAGTGAGCGTTATCTCTATGTATCAGTATTATGTATTGTGACAGTGCACTACATTACGTGTTATATATTTTTAGTATCTGTTGTCAGTGAGCGTTATCTCTATGTATCAGTATTATGTATTGTGACAGTGCACTACATTACGTGTTATATATTTTTAGTATCTGTTGTCAGTGAGCGTTATCTCTATGTATCAGTATTATGTATTGTGACAGTGCACTACATTACGTGTTATATATTTTTAGTATCTGTTGTCAGTGAGCGTTATCTCTATGTATCAGTATTATGTATTGTGACAGTGCACTACATTACGTGTTATATATTTTTAGTATCTGTTGTCAGTGAGCGTTATCTCTATGTATCAGTATTATGTATTGTGACAGTGCACTACATTACGTGTTATATATTTTTAGTATCTGTTGTCAGTGAGCGTTATCTCTATGTATCAGTATTATGTATTGTGACAGTGCACTACATTACGTGTTATATATTTTTAGTATCTGTTGTCAGTGAGCGTTATCTCTATGTATCAGTATTATGTATTGTGACAGTGCACTACATTACGTGTTATATATTTTTAGTATCTGTTGTCAGTGAGCGTTATCTCTATGTATCAGTATTATGTATTGTGACAGTGCACTACATTACGTGTTATATATTTTTAGTATCTGTTGTCAGTGAGCGTTATCTCTATGTATCAGTATTATGTATTGTGACAGTGCACTACATTACGTGTTATATATTTTTAGTATCTGTTGTCAGTGAGCGTTATCTCTATGTATCAGTATTATGTATTGTGACAGTGCACTACATTACGTGTTATATATTTTTAGTATCTGTTGTCAGTGAGCGTTATCTCTATGTATCAGTATTATGTATTGTGACAGTGCACTACATTACGTGTTATATATTTTTAGTATCTGTTGTCAGTGAGCGTTATCTCTATGTATCAGTATTATGTATTGTGACAGTGCACTACATTACGTGTTATATATTTTTAGTATCTGTTGTCAGTGAGCGTTATCTCTATGTATCAGTATTATGTATTGTGACAGTGCACTACATTACGTGTTATATATTTTTAGTATCTGTTGTCAGTGAGCGTTATCTCTATGTATCAGTATTATGTATTGTGACAGTGCACTACATTACGTGTTATATATTTTTAGTATCTGTTGTCAGTGAGCGTTATCTCTATGTATCAGTATTATGTATTGTGACAGTGCACTACATTACGTGTTATATATTTTTAGTATCTGTTGTCAGTGAGCGTTATCTCTATGTATCAGTATTATGTATTGTGACAGTGCACTACATTACGTGTTATATATTTTTAGTATCTGTTGTCAGTGAGCGTTATCTCTATGTATCAGTATTATGTATTGTGACAGTGCACTACATTACGTGTTATATATTTTTAGTATCTGTTGTCAGTGAGCGTTATCTCTATGTATCAGTATTATGTATTGTGACAGTGCACTACATTACGTGTTATATATTTTTAGTATCTGTTGTCAGTGAGCGTTATCTCTATGTATCAGTATTATGTATTGTGACAGTGCACTACATTACGTGTTATATATTTTTAGTATCTGTTGTCAGTGAGCGTTATCTCTATGTATCAGTATTATGTATTGTGACAGTGCACTACATTACGTGTTATATATTTTTAGTATCTGTTGTCAGTGAGCGTTATCTCTATGTATCAGTATTATGTATTGTGACAGTGCACTACATTACGTGTTATATATTTTTAGTATCTGTTGTCAGTGAGCGTTATCTCTATGTATCAGTATTATGTATTGTGACAGTGCACTACATTACGTGTTATATATTTTTAGTATCTGTTGTCAGTGAGCGTTATCTCTATGTATCAGTATTATGTATTGTGACAGTGCACTACATTACGTGTTATATATTTTTAGTATCTGTTGTCAGTGAGCGTTATCTCTATGTATCAGTATTATGTATTGTGACAGTGCACTACATTACGTGTTATATATTTTTAGTATCTGTTGTCAGTGAGCGTTATCTCTATGTATCAGTATTATGTATTGTGACAGTGCACTACATTACGTGTTATATATTTTTAGTATCTGTTGTCAGTGAGCGTTATCTCTATGTATCAGTATTATGTATTGTGACAGTGCACTACATTACGTGTTATATATTTTTAGTATCTGTTGTCAGTGAGCGTTATCTCTATGTATCAGTATTATGTATTGTGACAGTGCACTACATTACGTGTTATATATTTTTAGTATCTGTTGTCAGTGAGCGTTATCTCTATGTATCAGTATTATGTATTGTGACAGTGCACTACATTACGTGTTATATATTTTTAGTATCTGTTGTCAGTGAGCGTTATCTCTATGTATCAGTATTATGTATTGTGACAGTGCACTACATTACGTGTTATATATTTTTAGTATCTGTTGTCAGTGAGCGTTATCTCTATGTATCAGTATTATGTATTGTGACAGTGCACTACATTACGTGTTATATATTTTTAGTATCTGTTGTCAGTGAGCGTTATCTCTATGTATCAGTATTATGTATTGTGACAGTGCACTACATTACGTGTTATATATTTTTAGTATCTGTTGTCAGTGAGCGTTATCTCTATGTATCAGTATTATGTATTGTGACAGTGCACTACATTACGTATTATATATTTTTAGTATCTGTTGTCAGTGAGCGTTATCTCTATGTATCAGTATTATGTATTGTGACAGTGCACTACATAAGTATAGTGTCGTTATGATTCCAATTTTATTACGGTGATGTATATCGATGTATTAGTGTTATGTATGATTATGTACTGAACTATATCTTATCTGTATTTTCTGTCTCGTGCATTATGTACTAATATAATGTATTATCATTCTTTATTTATATTTATCAATTATCAATATTTACTGTCCCATTTGTTATCATCCAGATGTTACATTGTTACTGAGTAGGGAGGACCGTAATAGGATCAGTACCCACATCGAGTCGCTTGTGACAAAATAATTAATTAAACAGTTCTTTTTTTCACAATTAGAATAATTTACTCTTATGCAAAGCCATGCAACTTTGTGTGTGAGTTGATCTTGTTTTTTTTTTTTTGTTTTTTGGGTTTTTTTTTCTTTCTTTCTTTTTCATTTTTCTGCAGATGATTATTAACTAGCTAACAGGTCTTTCAAACTCACAAATTAGTTATTTGTTGACGTTGCAATAAACTGCGCAAGCGAGGATTATAACTTATGTTGTGGACAATAGAGATAAACTCTGGCTATAGGCTTATATCTCTAGCTACACATGAAGATATAGACGACAAAACACATTCTATTACAAAGCTGTGATGTTGGAAAAGATTTGTTCATTTAGATTTTAATATATATTGCAAAATATATGCCTTGATCAGTTTAAGGCACTGACGTTTTCTCATTAAACATGAATACGCTCATCGGTGACGTCAGAGTGTTCTATATATATATATATATATATCGTGATCCCTGGGTGCTTAATTAGTTTACACAAAGTTTACCCGACTTTTACCTGATGGTGAAGGATGGTTTGGTGATCCACTTTGCCTATCCCAACCTTATGTGTAATACATTATATGTATTATTGGTTTCATGTTTGATAAAAGAGTCAGTCTGGCAAAACTGAGGTTTTTATACCAAGTATTGAAATCACAAAACTCATGATAACAACAAAAACGTTCATAAATAACATTGATTTCTTGCATTCGCCCAGCAAAGGCTAATCCCGGTAGATCACACAATTCATGTGAATATGGAATATGGCTGAAATGATTATACTCCTGTGTTCTGCATGTGATTACCCAACCCCTCTCTGCATTAGTTATAGTGGTATACCTTCACCATAGGACATTAAACATAGGTCCTACAGAATAAATTGTATTTATATCCTACCATCAGTTGTCATTTCGGTTATACAGAATCAATGTAGGCCCTACCAAATCAAATGTATTCATATCTTACCATCTGCTGTCTGTATAGATCCTATATAATAAAATGTATCCATATCCCACCTTTAGTTGTCAACATATATCATACACTGTCAAGTGTATTTATATCTTAACATCTGCTGTCCGTATAGATCCTATATAATAAAATGTATCCATATCTCACCTTTAGTTGTCAACATATATCATACACTGTCAAGTGTATTCATATCTTACCATCAAACAATTCATCGAGAGTAAAATAATTCTGTCCTACCATCAATAGAGTCATTCAAAGTCAAAATGTTGTGGTGGTCTAACCTGACTTATCGATATATAGTTCACACGGAGTAAACTGTACTCGTAGCCTACCGACAACAAATTCGTAAGGAGTAAAATACATTCTACCTACCAACAATACAGATAGTGCCAATATAAATGCGTTCGTGGTATACAATTACTTATCAATATAGTTTATACAATTAAATTGTAATTCGTCATTCTACCCTTCCCCCAATATTTATCATACAGTGTTTATTGTATTCATAGCTTACCATTTCCTTTCAATAGAAACATCATTAGAATTAGCATGACGAACGAGAAATTAGACATAACTCACCATTTTCTTCTGTTAAATCCCTTTTGTATCTTTCGGGTTCCGATAATTGACTCGGCATGCTGGACTCGCCATAATAAACGGCTTTCCGGACCAAAGCTAAAGCCAGAAAACCGACATAGGCCATCAACAACAACCCCAAAACTTGCCACTTTCTCTTTCTCCTGGCTTTGTAAAACATATATTTTTTGGAACGACATCTTGTCGGAGTTTTCTCATCCAGGTCGATATCCATTGTATAACGTGAACAGACACCAATTCTTTGTCCTTTCGATTTAGTCCTCTGACCCTACTTCACATGGTGATCAGCCCGCTACGAATGACCACTGATATTGTCGTTGTATAACGCTGATAAAAATTTCAATGTCACACTTTTGAAAATTTTAGAAAACGATTAACGGTTAAAATAGTAATACCACTCTTAAAAAAATTATCAATCTGATAGGTCGGTCAACAACTAGGGCATGTACAAATGAATTATAGTTTAATCTCACTTATCAATATATGTACCACGGGACTATAATGAGAGAATGACACTTAAGGTCATGTGATAAACCCATCTGATAACGAGCGTACATACACTGACAGTAATGTAGGTGTATAGCTAGTCCGTACGTGATAAACACATGTTATAGGCTAGGTATACAGAGTTAACAGTATCATACATCCTGTCCTACACTTTCCGTCCAATGAATCCTCTCATATAACTTGAATATTCATTCACATACTTCCATGATTGTTGCTGTCACATCTACCAACACAGACGTCGTCAGCATCAGCTGAACCAATGTTCGGCTTTGGTGAGACGCCTACCGTTTCTGAGTATGGCATTGGAGTGATGCTAGCTGTCGATATCTCCAAACAGATCGATCATGGGTGCTGGCTGGGTTTAAGGTTTACAGGTAGATTCCAGTCGAGATAGAGTTAGAATCCTATCACGGTCCATTCTTATCAAATATTTACTATATTCAATATTGTTTTTCGAGCGGTGCAGGAGGTAAAACGGTGGATAAGGCTTGTACTCATGGCAATTAATTGTACACGTAATGAAGAATATCACAGACTCAGTCACTTTCGTGAGACAAGAAGCCGTCTGTGCATTGACTCATTGAATCTTTCAGCTGAAAATCTTCTCGAAGGTCGCGTCACACACACAATACGTATATGTTGTCTACCTTTGTTTGCCATTGATAACAAGTCAAAATCTTAGTTATCTTTTCATATCTTTCAACAGTTGATACATTATGTTTTATGTTTATATATTTAAGTGACGTACCACTAAGTGCATGAATTAAATCTGAATATACTTCTCGTCCTTAAAATCTCGTTATGTGTATTGCGTGATAAGTAATTTTCCCGTACGTAAATTAGCCTTACTTCCGGTACAAGATTTGTTTTACCTTCAAGATGATTATAAATCGATATGCGTCTGTACTGGAGAAATTGGTTTTTCATTTGGTAGATCTATTTCTCGTGTCTGGCCCTGCACGAGCGAACTACTTACTTTCCTATATATAGCTCTGTCCGAGTAAACCAATATTCTGCCGACCATTTTCCTGCTGTTTCTCTATGATCGACAGCTCCTATTTACTTTCGTTCTTTTCTATGTAATAACAAATTATTCTTGTCAAAATATCACCCGGTTTGTATACAGATATGTCATTTGTTTTTGTCTCGTTGTCTTTATGGATGGATGGATGGAGCCCGGGAGACAGACGGACACAACATGACATATCTGTTAATATTTTAATACAACCGGATGATATTTTGATACCCAGCAATTTTTTTCCAGAGATATTCGATGCGTCTGTATTGGTTCTAGTTTTACAGCAGATATGTCCCCTGTCCCATAACTTTCCATGTGAAGATTTCACACGATTTTCTGTATGCATCCTACCTTAGTTTTCTTCTCATTTTTTTTACATTTACTACACCTTTAATCATGTAAACGGTTTTAATGCAATATTGTTTGGAATATTGTCTTTTTTATCTTGGTTAGCAAGCGTGATGAGCAATAATAGTTTATATGTTGTATCGCTGTTGAATTTGCTGATGAGTATAACCTTGGATAGACTGTCAGTCCTCCTTCAGTTCTGCTCTACAATTCCATAGAACTCCATTTCTGTTTGGGGATCATAATCCAACATTTGCGATCTTTCACTTTCTTCTTCTTCGTCTTCTTCTTCAAAAATGGCTGCCGGCTTCTGAAAAAAACCTCCTATGCTGCGTCGGTCTTGTAAAAAAGTAGTGCATTGATGAGATCTTCAACACTTACTTTCCATCATCTATCTGATTCTATCTGAGAGCGTGTTGGTGTCAGCGTTGTAAGGCCCTGTTACGTCACCTTCCTCATTGCTGTTGACTGTTCTTCTGTTAAACACTGACGATTTCGTCTTTGAGTTAAATGTAATTAAAACGTTTGACCCGACACCTCTAGCACTTGTCCTTCGTTATAGATCCTTTATATCTTTAGACTTAATTATAATATAGACTTATATTAAATATATATATTAGACTTTAGACTTTCAACGGTCTCTGAGTAAATAAATACTGTGTTCATATTTTGCCCTGGTATGGTCATTACTGTGTTTATATTTTGCCCTGGTATGGTCATTACTGTGTTTATATTTTACCCTGGTATGGTCATTATTGTGTTTATATTTTGCCCTGGTATGGTCATTACTGTGATTATATTTGGCCCTGGTGTGGTCATTACTTTGTTCATATTTTGCCCTGGTATGGTCATTACTGTGTTTATTTTTTGCCCTGGTATGGTCAATTTTGAGTTCAAATCACTGTTTTATTGACACATCTGTATTCTCTGTATATCTGTATTTCTGCTACAGGCTTTTTTTCAACGTCTTTCAAACGTCAATAATGTCGGGCGTCACGATTGGCAACCGGAAACTGCGCAATGCCAATACATCGAAACAAGTACGTTTGATCACCGCAACGTGACTATCGTTTTTCTAAACCTGTCTGCCTTGAATACAGTGTGATTATATTCTTGTTTATGTTACGAATCTATAAGGTTATTCCACACAGAAAATTGAGCCGTTGGCAATCCGGACCCTTAACAAGCGTTACATCTACGCTCTCCATCACGTACATATGTATACTCTCGCACATATATCCTAACACCTATGTAGGTAATAAAAGGGATCATGTAGCACACTATACTAGGTTACTCCGTTACTCGCCTGATGGTGTTGAACCTGTTCTCCCTTACTGTCCATTAGATACGTATTATTTACTCATGTTAATTACAAGTTATCGAATATTAATAAGAACATTTCGAATATCAAAAGAGAGTTTTGAATGTAGATCACAACGTTTCAAAAACAATTACGTGTTTGATGATAAATTATGTTATTTAAATAGAAATTACAAGATTTTCAACGTAAATCACAGTGTATTTTAATTTTGCATCCTTTGACATACTTCAATTAGCCTTATCTATGGACAGACCGTTGAAGTTGCTATGCATGTTAACGGTGCCACGATTTACATGCTAAAGTGGTACCACGAAAGTCCTGGTAAAGTACTCGGTATTTCTGAATCAGGATTTACATACCAAAGTGGTACCACAAATGTTCTGGTAAAGTACTCGATATTTCTGAATCAGGATTTACATACTAAAGAGGTACCACGAAAGTCCTGGTAAAGTACTCGGTATTTCTGAATCAGGATTTACGTACAAAAGTGGTGCCACAAATGTCCTGGTAAAGTACTCGGTATTTCTTAATCAGGATTTACGTACAAAAGTGGGACCACGAATGTCCTGGTAAAGTGCTCGGTATTTCTGAATCAGGATTTACATACCAAAGTGGTCAGTCGATAAGTTGAGCACCATATCAAATGATATTTTTTCATGATATATAGTGTTGTCGGGAAACAATCGATATTTGTTTTTCAAATATATTTTGGTTTGAAGTATTTGAACCAGAGTTTAGGCCATGTTACGAGTGTCCCCTTATTAACTGTTTGGGTCACACAAGGGTCACGAATACTCCCCACAAGGTAACGACACAAAATGAACAGAGTAGATGGACAGAGTACATGGTCCAAGTTTCACTGTCGTTCTTTAAGTTAAGGAAGAGCTAAGGAAAGATGCTAATCTAATAAAGTTTTCCTTAACTCTAGCAATGCAGTGCCAGGTACTGGCCGTAGGTCGGTGGTTTCTCTCTTGGAACTCCAGCTTGCCTCCAACACCAAAACCTGGCACGTCCTTAAATGACCATAGCTGTTAAAAGGACGTATAACGCAAACAAAACAAGTAAGTGCATGAATTTCTTTAACTTCAGGAACAATCGTGAAACTCTGGTGAGTATACCTAACCGATCATATTAATGACATTTTAAGTAATCTACCGGATATTAGCGTGTCTTATGATCTTTTTATTAATTTCCATTGTAGACGATGGGTTTGCGGCAGGTGTGCATATATTGATAAACTACCCGCCCCGATCTGCTGTGAGGCTGAACAAGTTTGACTGTTGTTTCACCCCGAATAGGAATATAGAAGTTGCTTGCTGGTCGGGAGCAACTTATGTTGGACATCGGAAATAATTGTATCGATAGTTTTATTTCGGGAGCAACCATTGGCGTAATAATTGATTGTCCAGGTCAGATCTTACGCTAAATAAGGTTTACCTGAAAGGAAACAGCGTATAAAGCAGTTGGAAAGCTGCATTAGGGAAATCGTAAAAATAATATATAAAAGATTAACACACTAAGTAAAATAATGTAGAAAAATGTCTGAAAAGGGACGTAAAGGATCCAAATGATTACAATAGGAGTAACGATTTCTGGCGATGCCCCAACGCCTACATCAGCACTCACGTGACGGAAGCATTTGACATCTCTGCGCCATCTTGGATAACCAGGATCACTCGATCATCGCGTGCCAGCTGTATGCTATGGCTGCTGGGTCCGACCAGACCTAGATTCTGACCGGAAGTTCCATTATCTATCCTGGCAGTTTAGACCGAATTGAGACATTTATGAGGAAACAAGCGCCTAAAATGGTAACGGGGAGAAGCTTGGAAGCCTCAGTAACGTGCAGCTAGGAGACGGTGTTGATGTTTCTCGTGCGTGTGGAACACTTCTACGTTTTATAAACACCTAAATCGGGCGAAACGTGAGCATATCTAAAGTTCATCTCTCAAGAAACAAGGTTATTGACTCTTCTAGCAGATTTTCTAGAAAATTGAAACAAAACTAATGATTTTTTCTGACAATCAATTGACTTAAGAAAGTCTTTTATATTTTTCTGGTATGGACAGGTACGGTTAGGTACACAAATGTACTTCGCCGAGACATAGAATTTAAATTATATTTGATAAACAAAGTAGGTTATCTTGATGTGTACATGTATTCCGTCATAAAAAAGTGTGTTTTTTATCCATTTAAGGAATAACCATGATTAATTTGGGGTTATACGGTATATACTTTTGTTTGTTTGTTTGTTTATGTTTAACGGCCCATCGACGGCTGTGGTCATTTAGGGCCATGGTGATTTATTTATTCACTTTACTTTTTTAACAAACATGTGAATAGCGAAGATAAAATCAGATAAAATGGTTCATTTTAAAAGTATTCGCATTGTATGTGTAGATAATTAAAAATAATAAAAGGGGGTTAAAATAATAAAAGAGATAACGAATAGATGATATGGAATATGCGATATATATATAACGTCAAAAAGGATAAGGTGGGTTAAAAGACATCAGAGTCTATAAAATAGACCGATGTCTTTCAAATAGTTAAATAATGCCTTCGAATCCACGGAACTGAAAAGTGTTTTCATATCCGGGACTCGGAAGTAGTTATCACGAATGTGTTTAAAATCGGAACATTCTATTAAAAAATGCTCCACTGTAAATGGAGTGTCACATGCGTGGCATGAAGGTATATCTTCTCGTTTTAAAAGGTACGAATGAGTAGGATATGTGTGCCCAGTGCGGAGCCGAGCGAGGACAACTTCCTCTCTACGATCTTTCCGACTGGGAATAGATGTTTTAAGTTTCGGTTGTATCTTAAAAAGTTTGTTGTTGGTCTCCAGAGACCAGCGTTTCTGCCATTCATTTTGAATGGCTGTACGAATAGTAGGTTTAAAATCTGTGTATGGTAGTTTGATATTTGTTTGTTCGAGATTCAATGCATTTTTTGCTTCCCTGTCAGCAAATTCGTTGCCTTTTATTCCGACATGGCTCGGAATCCATAGTAAAGTTATTTTAGACTTTTTTAATATACGAGATATTCGATGAGCAAGGTTTTGTACGATTGTGTTTTTAGGATCTCGTAACTGTAAACTCTGTAGGACAGATAGAGAGTCTGAACAAATAATTGCCTTTTTAATGCGGTGTTCATCGATATGGTCGAGGGCCAAACCAATGGCGCATGCTTCAGCAGAAAAGATGGAGGCGCCGTCTGGTAGTCGGACTGAAGTGCAAGTATTGGCAGTACAGCAGGCTGCTGCCACTTTCTCACCTTCTTTGGAGCCATCGGTGTAAAGTTGTGTATGAGAAGGGTAATTCGAAATGCATTCCCGAAAGGAGGATTTGTGTTCTTCGGGCATAACACTTGATTTCCCTCGCTCATGTAATGTAAAGTTAAAATCGGGGGTTTGAATGGTCCACGGAGGAACATCAGATATGTTAAATTCAGCTATGTCCGTCAATTTTATGTTGAGTTCTTGCAGGAAATTCAAAATTCGGATACCAAATGTTGGCAGAAGTTTTTGGTTTTGCGTAAATATGTTTTGGTATTTGGGGTTGAATACTTGGTTGAAAGCAGGATTTTTAGGGTTTGATTTTAATTGAGTTGCAAATTGTAATGAAAGTTTTATTCTTCTGTCATAAAGGGATGGTTCATTTGCTTCCACGTACAGGCTTTTTACAGGTGTTGTTCGAAAAGCTCCCAGGGCAAGACGTAGCCCTTGGTTATGGATTGGATCTAGCATCTGAAGGTACGAACTGCGCGCTGACCCGTATACCATAGAACCATAATCCAGTTTTGTTCGAATAAGTGATCTGTATAGGCGCAAAAGCATTTCACGATCCGCTCCCCAATCAGTATGAGAAAGGACTCGTATAATGTTTAACGCCTTGGAACACTTATCCTTCAGATACTTTATATGTGGTATGAAAGAGAGTTTCGAATCAAAAATGAGGCCGAGAAATTTAGTCTGTTCAACAACAGGAATTCTAGTGCCATCGAGTGTTAGATTTGGGTCATTGTGTGCTTTTCGTTTTTGACAGAAATGCATGCACACAGTTTTGGATTTAGAGAATTTGAAGCCGTTTTCGTCTGCCCAATTTTGTAGTTTGTTTAAACTCTGTTGAAGTTGTCGTTCTATCGTGTGCATGTTCTTAGATCTGTAACAGATCAAGAAGTCATCCACAAATAACGACCCTTCTGTTGATTGACCAAGACATTTGACTATATCATTTATTTTAAGTCCAAACAGTGTGACTGATAGGATTCCACCCTGTGGGACTCCCATTTCCTGTTTAGACGTTTCAGAAAAAGTTGAACCAACACGGACTTTGAAGTGTCTATCTGATAGGTAATTAGATATAAAATTGGGAAGGTTTCCACGTACGCCAAGGTCGTGAAGATCTTTCATGATGCCATACTGCCATGTAGTATCATAGGCCTTCTCAAGATCGAAGAACACAGCGACAAGGTGTTCTTTCTTGGCGAAAGCCTCTCGAATGAACGTCTCTAATCTGATGAGATGGTCATTTGTCCCTCTTCTATTTCTAAAGCCACTTTGAAGAGGGGATATTATATCGTTGGCCTCAAGAAACCAAACCAGTCTAGTGTTTATCATTCGTTCCAAAGTTTTACATACACAACTAGTCAGAGAGATAGGACGATAGTTGTTTGGGTCAGTAGCATCCTTTCCCGGTTTTGGGATAGGTATAATTGTGGAGTTCTTCCACGAATCGGGAATCTTTCCGGAAGCGTAAACTTGGTTGAATATGTAAAGAAGGCATGTTAGTGAAGAGTCCGGTAAGTGCTTTAGAAATTGATATGGAATATCATCAGGACCTGAAGCAGTGTCCTGTGATTTTCTAAGCGAATCAACAAGTTCTGGTAGGGTAAATTGTTCATTATAACTTTCTTTGTTTGATGATTTGAAATTGAGCCGTTTCTTTTCTCTCTTTTTTTTCAAAGACTGGAATTTTTGGGAGTGGTTTAAAGGGGATGAGTTTTTAGCTATGTTTTTTGCAAATGCATCAGCAATTTCAGTTATAGACGAGAAAATTTTGTTTTTATTAATGAGGTGGGAGGATGTTGCCTTTTTCTTTTTCCCACTTATTTTCCGAATCATATCCCATACTTTTTTTGAGGACGTGTTTGATGATATCTTGGATACATATTCTCTCCAGCTGTTTCTTTTGTCAATTTTAATTGATCGCCGAGCCTTTGCCCGCCAAATTTTAAATTCACTGTAGTTTGAAGCAGTTGGGCAATTGAAGTAGCGTCTTAGAGCAGCTGCCCGATTACTGCGTGTTTTAAAAGATTCTTCAGATAAAAGGAACTTCGTAGGTTTTGGAGCGGATTTTGGAATTGTCTTTTGGGCAATAGAAGTGAGTGTTTCAGTAAAAGTTTTGATAGGGTCGTCGAGGTTAGTAAAATTGTCTATGGTTAGTTTTTCAATGCACATGTGTTGGAATTGGGCCCAATCTGCTTTGTGCATATTCCATCGAGGTAGAGGATCATCAAGAGGAGTCCCAATATTCTGAAGAAAAATTGGGAAGTGGTCACTCCCACAAAGATCATCATTTACCCTCCAGTCATAGTCAAGTAAAATGGATGGATGGCATAATGATAGATCAATGTGGGTACGAGAGCCTGTAGCAGGGTGTAAATAAGTAGGGGTATTGTTGTTAAAAAGGCACAAGTTGTTTTTATCTATAAATTCCTCAATACGTCTTCCTCTCTCGTCTGTGTTGGGAGAGCCCCACAGGCTATTATGACCATTAAAATCACCGAGGATTATGAATGGTGTTGGGAGCTGGGAGACGAGATTATTGAGTTGCTCACAAGTGAAAACAATACTCGGAGGGAGATAAATTGAACAGACGGTTATTTGTCTGTGTAATGTTGCACAGACAGCAACAGCCTGTAAATTTGTGTTTAACTTGATCATTCTGTGAGGAATATTTTTATGGACAGCTACCGCTGCGCCACCTGCTGCTCTGCTAACTACAGTTGGAATGTTAGTGTAGAGTGAGAAATTTCTAAGCGTGATTGGGTTTTTGAGCATGATTTCTTGAAGACAAAAAATGGCGGGTCTAAATTCTTTTGATAGATTCTGAAATTCTTCTATATTTGCCTTTAATCCGCGGATGTTCCATTGGATAATTGTGTTATTTATCTTTTGTTATTTTGGCTGGATTTCGATGGAGTCGAAGCACGAAGCGCTGAGGCATTCGTCTCCATCTCATCATCGAAATCTAGTAGGACATTGAACCGGTTTGTCGGGTCCTCTGATCGGTATATACTGGAAAAGAAATGTATGCATAAATCCGCGAATGCACCCCAGAAAATAATCATGGTTATTCTTTATAATTTAATTCAAAAAGACAAACAACACTTTATATGTTCATAGGTAATGAAAAATTATTCATTTCTGACAAAAACAATAACAAAATATACAAAACTCAACATAGCGCAGTTCACCCTTCTATGCCCCGCCCCCACGTAGCAACCAAAGTCACGTGACTACATACTCCGACAACAAATGTAAACAAGCCATAGTAAAATTTTGCCCATGGCGATGGCGGCAGCGACTGTTGAAGGACTCGGGGACATTCCCGATGATTTTTGTATGGGATACATTCAAGATGCAATCATTTCTGAAAAATGTATATCCAGGGGAACTACTTATTTTAGAGAGGGCTATGTCCACAACATAACGTTAACAAAAAATGATGTCCAAGCGGATGTGGCAATCGGAGGGAGATGCTACCGAAGCATGAGAAAGGGGGAGAAGCCACACTTGTTAGCATTACATGTACAGTAGGCTTAACAAAGAAGAGTGTTAAGGACGCATACTGTTCAGCTGGGTAATTATCCAGTTTGGGTCTGTCGAGTTCCGTTTTTCTTTTTTCTTTTTTTAATTAAACGGTTGTTCAAAATATTATGCAGTGATGTTCGTTGGTTTCCTTGTTCAGACGTTTTTTTTAAATAGCGGTATCCGCGGCTCAATACTTGGTAATTCTCCCTATTTAGGAGGGAGACTCACGAGTTTTACATCTACATCTACATAGTTATGACCACCTTCATCTATTTGAAAATCATGTCATTGATAGTGGGTGCTAGGCCAAGAGAAGAAATTGAGCAATTTAAACTAGTGAATTTGCTAAAATTTCATCTGAAAGAACAGCTCAAAAGATGCCATTTCATTAGGGTGTACAATTATACATACATTTGTTTTAATCTCCCAGATGGACATTTTAAAAAGTTGGCAAGTATGACAAGCTGGTATTAAACTGTTTATTTGTGTTCTTACCTATATCAATATGAGCATATATGAATCCCCTATATATATGCGTGTACCCTAAACTACAGACTGTAGTGCATGCCTAACGTACAATCATGACAGTCAATGAGTCATTCAAAATGTAAAAATTATATATAACAAAAGGTGGACATTGATAGCGTTAACAGTCATCTCCGACATCTGTTGCTGTACTGTGCGATTACATCCAAATAAAAACAAGGGAGTAGGCCCTATTCAAAACATTTGTTCCTAAATGTACTGTTAACAGTGAAGAAATAAAAAGTCTAAAACATTAGTTATATTAATTATATTTAATTATTCCTTTAATGCACTCATCCAAGTTATGCAAATGAAGTAAATAGCAGCTTACATAAAGGCATAACATAGACATTTATCCCTCCCTTTTGTCCTCTTTTTAAGGACAAAGCATTAATTCTGTGTTGATAACAAATCATCAGTACATTATTACCCCATGCCACATTCCCAAAATTATATAGTATTACCCTTCCTCCATTCTTCAATATCTAAGAGTGACAAGATCTGATGTGCAGCAGGCCTAGTTTACGAGTTTCTTCCATCTGCGCCAGGGACTTGCAAACTTACGTTTCACGGTATGCCAGAGGTTCGCATCCTGTTCTGCAAATCACTGCTTGAGTGGAGATAGCAAATCTAAAAGCCAGATCTTTAAGACCAAAATTGTGTCGCAGTCTTATCATTGATAACAACAGTTTATCCTCGCACTCCATGTTAACTATGTCTTTCCTGTTATTATGGTGTTGTGGGGCCTGAATAGTGAGAACGTCAAGTAGGGCCTGGAATCTTGAGAATTTGAATCCTGTATAATATTCAAATAATCCTTGAATCTGTGATTCCTCCTTTAAAATCTCCTGAATAGTCAGTGGTTTGGGTTTGTCATCACTTACAGGATTTCCCAATGTAGCTTCATGTTGTTCATACCACACTCTGTATTCATTGAATAAGGCTTCAGACTGATGAACTTGTTGTTGTAGCCTCTTGATTTCAGCTGCTGCTGATAGCAGTTCCAAAGATGTTCCTGAAAAAAAGTTCTATAAATAAATCTAATTCAGCTGATTTTATTTTATTTTTAGTCTCAGAAGAATGACATTGCTTTTAACAATGGCAATGTCATGTCTTGCTGAGAAATAATTTATACCCAACCAGTAAAAGTTAGGTTGCCACCTTGTTACCAAGATTTGGTGGAAATGGCAAAGGTTGCAATGTTGGAAAAGGCAACACGGTCCCAAAGTACCACCACCCTATGGAACAGACTCAGAGAGAATAGACTTACAGCATCTCAGATGTTCAAAGTAGTAAACAGAAAGAAAGGTCCTACTGATGCTATGCTAAGAGATTTGTTTACAATAAAGACATTCTCTTCTGTAGCAACAGATTATGGTATTAGTAGGGGAAAAATTGCCAGAGAAAAATATGTCAGTCAAAAGTCTGTCTAAAACATACATGTCCATGATTGTGGGTTAGTGATAAACAAGGAATTTCCCCATTTAGCCGCCACACCTGATGGTAAAGTATGTGACAAAGGGGAGACTGGTATTGTGGAAATAAAATGTCCCTTTGTAGCAAGGCAGATGAGTATTACTGAAGCTTGCAATGTGATCCAGAATAACAATTTGTTATCAAAATGTTTAAGCACCAAGGTATAAAGAAGTTAATTGATTATAGCTTATCTGATTCACTGCAACATATTTCCTGTCACGACAATACTTTCTACTTGGAAAATCTATAGCACTGAAAACCTGATCATTATTACAAATGTACTGATACATAAAATACTATTATGGTCAAAATTGAAATGCTCATTATTAGAGCAGATTCCTAAGCAGTTTTCTTTTCGCACTGTTCGCACTGTTCTTCCAGTCGTTGTAAGTCTTCGACTTGTGAGACTGTCCTATATCTTGTTGTCATCGATACTTTATGGCATGCCCATATTTGTTGGTGACAAGTTTAAAAGTTAAAAGTTCGTTCACACTAACAATTTTAGTGTTTTGAAGGAGTGTTTTTGTTTTTGTTTTTTTAAATCAATGTTCAATTGGTCAAATTAACTCACCCAACAGAATGTCTGAGTCTCCAATGAAGGCGGCACTTTTTATTTCTCCTCCAAATGCTGAAACAAACCAGAAGTATATATGACTTGTAAAATCAGAATGAAATGGGGGGGTGTGGCTTTATAAACATAACAAAATTAGATATATCATGAACAGTATATACCATGACAAATTAATAGTTTCTTCTTTGGATTGTTACATATTTTTCATGGATTTTTTTACGTCACTTGCAACCATTATATCAGTAACATAACATAATATTTAAGATAACAACCCCACCGTCTGTGTATTTTTCTTTATCAAGAGTACTGTCAGTACAGTACTGTACTGACTGAGTAATATTGTGCATACATGTATACACCAACCTTCTGTGATTTTTCTAAAAACAACATCGAGATAACATGATTGATTGCTCCCTGTACATGTCGTGTACTCTCGTTAAAGTCTAACGGTAAACAGTAAACAAGTATCTTCTACTTTCATTTTGTTGACATAGGGTCATGTAATACAGCTGTAATGTAAACAACTAATGGGTCAACAAAATGTTGGTTTTATTAAGATTAAAAATTAATTGATGTGTTTGCTGCTTGCACACCCGCAACTCTTTATATGCGTATGAATTAAACCAGCAGAACACAAGACATCAAAATAAGAAATGATGATTACGCTGTGCATGCCCCTGTGTTGGACCGACAGCTCTTATGTTTACACAGTGTCATAACAAGTTTTGCTCGAGACATATTAAAAACATATGAATGAAATTGAGGATTATGTGAATATTGCCTGTTTGGTCAACCATATACTCTAGCTGCTTTACTACATTATATTTTCTAATATCGGGATATAAACATACCATTGAACAAACGAACTTGTGTCTATCTATATTTGTTGCGTTAAGCTGCGAATGGGGTCGTCCACAAGCCTTCACCTATCTCAGGCATGTTTCCAGGATTGTTTTAGGGTTTTGGAAAGGGAATAAATGTCACACCGTTCTCCAATCTATCTGTCGCTGTTGCAGGTTCCCCAGGAGCACTTCTTCACCATTATTTCACTGCAGTTCGTATTTACCCTCGTGTCAATGTCCGACAAAGTTGTCGGAGGTAATGACTGACAATCGAACTTGCGCTATGATTGGCTGAATTTGTATAGCAACCGCGTTGCTAACAACGATGTGGAAGGGTGATTTTTTTCATCGCAAAAAAAATCCACCAATCGGAAGTTAATTTCACAACAACAGCGCCAAACATTGCGGTATACGACGTCATCAATATTTGTGTTGACAGTTTTTTAAATTTAAGGGGACCTATCGGTCTCGAGTTCAAACCAAATTTCATGTCAAATCGCCAGTATAGACACGAAAAACAACGTACTATCCCCATTCTAACACACCGTAACAAATACACAGCGCTAATATGTTTAGAAACATTGTATTTCCTTGTACAAAAGTAAGTAGTAAAGTACTCTGTGATCTGAACTGGTGACGTGTCATTCTGTAACGGACTGACCAATCGGTAAGAAGCTTTCAAAAGTCGGTCATTTGGCCCCGCCCTGTTGACGAGGCGGAATATACCAAAGTGGACATTTGAATTAATATTGACCAAATTCTTACATAATTCAGTATTCATGTCAGTATGCATACCAATCTGTGCTTATCGACAAAATCAGTGATTATTTGTATAGATTTGTGAAGAGTTTTGTGTAAATTCATACGACACAGGACGATAATTGCTGGCAAGGTGGCGGTTACCCTTTTTGAAGATCACGCCAAACTACAAAAAGGGTAGCCGCCACCTTGCCAGCAATTACCATCCTGTCTCTCTTACCTGCGTCTGTTCAAAACTTCTCGAACACGTCATTTGTGACCACAGACTAGTACTGTTGTTTAATGGGCTAGTAGCCATACCCGCTGACGACTACATCACAGCCAGCCGTACCAACACACGACCAATTCCGTAGTAGCCTCAAAAACTAACTTTTACTCCACTCCTCCTTCCCGGATGTGATATTCAATTTATGAATTTTATCCGGAACTTACAGATACAGACACATCAAATGACATGTGAAATGTTTCATTTGATTTCGGATCTAACTAGATGCCTTCACATGGATGAAACAAACGTTTCAGTAATAAACTGAGGTAAAAACAAGGAATGTTTACTTTTTACTTTTTAATTCATTCAACAAATACACTTTATCGGTAGTTTCTGTTCTGTTGCCTGCTAGCCTTATCACTAATATCAGCGGGATTTCGCTAAGAGGCGAGCTTGACGCCATATTGTTTTGGTTAGAAACGGGGCGTGGCTTAAGTGCAATGGGAGGAGCAGATTAGAACATGGTCCGTATCCAATCAAAACACGCGTTACAAACGAATCGTGTTAGAATATACGATATAACCTGAAGAAGTTTAGCATTGGAGGAATAACCAAAACTACTCCTTTAAACTGAACTGTTCTCTCCAGACAAATAACCAATGTAACGTTTGTCCAATATAGCATGTGACTCTTGCCAAACAAACCCTGTGTGTCTAGTCAATCTGAGCATGTGTCCCTTATCATATAAAACCTTTGCCTTCCGTGAAAAATAGAAGAGTATATTCCCTTACAAATAGGTAAGGATTATAGTGTTAAGTGTCATATAAACAAATGGCCACGTAAGGATATGTGTAGTACATGTATTTGTGTGTGTGCTAAAGGCAGCTCTGTCTACCAGCGATAGCGCGGATCTGACTTTAGAGTGTTACCTCACTGAAATGGTTGCCAAAGGCATCCGGCACAGTATTCCACCCGGTCACAATAAAGTGATAACGGGTAAACCAGCCGTTAATTAGCTGGGTAAGACCGGGTTGATTGTTCTCTGCGACTCCTTGCCCCCTCCACACAAACACTTCGATCAATCTGGCGTGCTTTTACTCAACATTTCTCAATCCAATATAGCTCTAAGTTTCATGGAAACGGGCAAACCCCCAATCACAGCAAGGTAGCAATCCATTGAGAGGCGCTATTGTAAAAGCTATTGGTCTCTAATCTAATTAATCACGTTTTCCTTATCAACATTTGTTCCTTAAAAATAAATCATGAGACTCTAGTCAATTTACTCATGGGTCAACTGTCAAATAAACATAGTGACCCTACTCAAATCCACCCTATTCCCTAGTCAGGTGAACAGATTTATGCAAGGTGTAAGAATATTAAATATTTTAATAATTATGCTAAGTACGAAAAACACCCACATTAAACTATCAATGGGTTCTTGAAAATGCTACAAGTTAACGGGTTTTTTTTAATTAACATGCATGCCTGGATTGCTTTGAAATACTTTAATATAGAGAGAACACACTGTTCTGTCAATAATAAACATACAATATTCATCACAACTTTAGACTCATTAGAATATGCGGAAATCGTGATACTGTCTCCCTACATAGGATTGAGATTTTCTACTAGGCATGTACTTCCTATTTCCGTTTGTCAATACACTCATTCGACCTTAAGAGATAATAATTGAAATATAAACATTTACTGGGGTATTTCTTTTATTTTAATTCTTATCTGTGAATTAATTTACAATATCTGACGTAATAATAATATTAAAAATCATGAGAGCTAAACGATACTTAGCCAGAAAAACTTCCCTGTAAAAATGACCCATACATAATGGCTATGTGTATCGGTACAACAACAGACTAGCAGAATCAATCCGGTAGATATAGACATATTTAACAGTTGATGACCAGATCGATATATCAATACAGACACGTAATAAATAGATCGACTGTAAGTATATTTTTCTCTCGTCACGGGTTAATCACGAATGTTGTACCACAGAGGCCCGTAATATTGTCTATAAAACACAGGGGACCGTAACATTGTCTATAAAACACAGGGGACCGTAACATTGTCTATAAAACACAGGGGACCGTAACATTTTTGTAACACAGTGATCAGTTATGGTTATGTAACAAAGAGACTGACAATATTGTGTAGCAAATTAAATGGATCGGTAATTATTGTCAACAGACTACATAATCCTCCAAATCAAAAATAGGGTGTGGCTTGATTCAGCCTTATTATTGGCTGCTAATGAGGTCATTGACGTTATATCTATGCTTGTCAGCGATTGGTCAATTGACTTTAGGGAACGCATCACTTTCATCATTTTGCTGCCGTCTTTAAATGCATAGATAAAATTTCAAAAAAAAAATCAAAAAAAGGAATTTAATCTCCATGGCTTCTTTGATGCAAGTAAAAGGCAACTGCTATAAAAGGAGAAAGTGTCGTAATTCGTAAAGCCAATTAACCAATCGCTGATCAGCATATATATGTAACACTGACAACTTCATCAGTAGCCAACCATAAGCCAGCGTCGAGATATATCATTAATAAACAGATCTTCACGACACTACCTTTTCTGTCTTTACTTCCCTACACTTTCCTTTGACTGTAGCGATTACACTAACTCATTCACCCCAAAACTATTTAAGCTGAACTACACCAGTCTTTGATTTGGTAGGATTACAATGAGACGTACGGGATGAATGGGTTAAACCCCATGAAAACATACAGAACAAACATCGGTACATTACGGCAAGAAACATTGTAAACTAAAGACTTCAAAACTAACACACAACTCAAGTAAAGTGTTACAGTGTTACTTACAAAACTTCTGCTAACTGATTTGTTGGCCCTTATGACCTCTTTTGTATCTGTTGGGCCGTTTAGAATCCAACAATAAGCTTAATACTTATAATAAGAAATAAAACTCGTACAACCAAAGGAAGGAAAATGGTCGATCCTACAAAAATTGAAGCAAATGCCACACAATAAAATCAAAACGTATGTTATCTAGCTTAATGAAGGTTGCAAACTAACGTCACCAAGCCACTACTCAAAACATGTTCTCAACTATTACAAAAACAGCAGGATTTTATAAAAAAAAACAAAAAAAACATGAAATTGTAAAGTTTAAGAAAGAAACATACATGTATTATCACGTCGAGGTATCATCGGCGATCATTCTCTTCCCCAGCATAAAGGTCTCGTTCTCCGCCATCTTGTTCATTAAAATATTAGGTATATGAATGTATCACTTGTGTTGTCTGCATTCGGGCAATGACATGATTGAAGTGATGTATCGGCAATGTGTTGGCTCGACCCATTACTATACTGACAGGAAAACGGGGTTATCGAGTGCAAAACATTGCAGGTTATAACTATTTCACTGCAGGGACACTTCTAAAAAGCCCTCGAGTATAGCCCTGATAAACAATGGACACTGTCGTCATACGAGAAATGTCTTAAAGTGGCTTCCTGTTGAGCAAAACGATTGGTTAGCGTATAACCCTATACATCGTCAACAGATGGGCGTCATTCCACTTCCTTGATGAGTGATGACTTAGCAGCGGGTCAGAAAGGATAATGGTCTTTTAGCATGTATATGGCGCTCCTAGTAAGCGATATGTGGTCAGCGAGTATAGGCTACTCGTATCACTGAACAACATCTATAGGATAATGATAGTATATCCATTTTAAAGGTCAACTTAATAATTGACACTCATTGAAATATCGAAAAATATTACTTATCTATATCTGGCAAGTCTACGTAATATCTAATACCTAGAGTCAAATTCCTAAGGTATCGCAAGTACTTCAGAAGATATATCATGAACTATATAGCAAAACCTACAACTGATTATTGGTCATTCAATCATAGCTTGACAAAGGGACACGCTGCAACACGTTTAATGCGTTCTTGTTTGTGTAGAAAGTAAACCTTCGATATTACAACTGCTGGATCTGATGACCCTTTAGTAACTTCTCCTCAGCATGCTCTTGTTCTACAAACCCATACGCCCAAAGCTTGACATGTAGAAATGAACGACCTTACTATTACCCATAATGCAAATCCACGACCCTTTTTCGTGAAGAGGCCTTTAGAAACATCTGAAGACACCTATTACCAATTACAATGTGAATCGCAAGATACAGTGGAAGAATACGTCAGACAATGGGCAAAACAAGAGCAGACTAAATTGGGTTCAGTCTCAGATTGAGTTAAGTCTAGCAGGTTCATCATTCAAAAAGGAATGAGCTGCTTGGAATATAAATTGAAAACAAAACACCAATAGTATTGATCTGCATGATAAGTATTTATATGTGTCTGATTGCAAAGCTTTCCTTAACCTTAATCTTGCATGGAAACACTGTGACATGTCCTGCGTGCAGAAGGGAACTTGTCTTGTTTGATAACCAATCCATCCCTGCTTATACCTCTTTTTCCAATTTCTTAAGTCGATGAACTAGCCACAGTGTAAGCATGCTTCTGTATTACAACCTTTCTGTATACACATTAATGATAACTAAATGGGATGGACCCGTCTCGCGTGTATCGAATTCCGACACTTCATTAGAATCCCGATAAACACAGTGAGTTATGGTTTTACCAAACACTTTGAGAAAGGGATTAGGCACAAGTTATTACAACTAATGAAGGCATTTAGCTGTCACTTTTAACAATTACACATCCTCACAACTTCAACCAGAAACACCCACACACTCATATGACGCCATGTTTGCGATATAACGGCATTATGGTTAATAACAATAGATAATTGGACGACAGGCCATGCGCGGGCGTTTATTATTTTCCCACATCAAACCCTCTTCCATAAACCGGCCTTCGTTCTTTATTTTTTCCAACATTTTCTCACCCTCGTTATATAATCCGCCATACTACACGCACATGCATTGGATATTTCCTGATTATACCACAATTAGAACTTATTGCTGGATTACATAAAGCAATCCACAGGTGTAAAAATATCAATGTTGAAGCCCAACGAAAGTTGAGAATTTCCAAATTGAAGCTATTCTAAATTCTAAGTTTAGAGTATGATTCAAATTTTGGAACAAGATATGCCTTTGGTTAGTGAAAAGGTATTGCAGAGAATTGCATTTACATCTAAGCTAAGTATGTAAAATAGTCACCGTGCGTTCACCAATACTCAAGAAGATATGTGGAAGAGATTCTACGTTTGAAGTTAAAAGTTATTGAAAGAACTTCAGGAAGGCAAAAATCGTTCTGAATAATCCAACGCCGTTTTATCGCTGGCTGACCTGGTTGCTCCGAGCGCAAAGGCATCATCCAAACGTGCCACCAGTATTATTACCTTTAACCAGGCGTACAGTGGTATTGTAGCACTGTAACCCGAAAATAGAACAAATGGAATTGGGATTTTGAATAATACAAAAGACGTTTTGATTGATCTTGAGCATACTCTCCTCAAAAATGTTTCTTCTATCGGAACACTTGAACTTTTCCACCCATTTTCACTTAAATAAATATCGACAATGTGTTGTCTTTAAATAACGAAAGGGGTCGCGGTGGTCAAGTGATTAGTAAAACATCTGACATTCTTTTACCACTTTGTCGCGGGCTAGAAACCTACGTGGGGCAGTCGACAGGTACTGGCCGTAAGTCGATGGTTTCTCCGAAAACTCCGGCTTTCCTCCACCACCAAATCCTGGCACGTCCTTAAATGACCATAGCTGCTAATAGGACGTAACATTTATTGACCTGGTCTATCCCTCCTGAACATGAAATCAATGATATATCAGGCCCTTATTTATTTCATTTCATTTTCATTTGTTTTCATTTCATCATATTTTATTGAATAAACAATAGGATTGAACAGCAGGCTAGGCCTATATAAGTTATCTCCTTAGGTTGACATGACAAAGACAAAGATGAATGAAACGGTTAGAAAGAAAATATTGATGCAAATTATATATAATAAGTAGCATAGATCCCCAGTCTATGTATAGCAGATGGTATAGGGGAGATAACTCCATGTATGTTTCAATTACATATAAATATTTAATTGATATTTTTAGCTATACAATGCTCTTATTAAAAAGTCAATCATAATTCATTAGTAATAGGAAAGCAGTGCCCTAATGATATATTAAACAGAGAAATTGCTACAATTGTATTTTTTGCAAATCATTAGTGCCCCCTGTTCATACCCTGCTGCTGTTGCATGAAGTAGTTAGAAGTATAGAACCATTTAGTATCAATATATATATCATTGGTAGGAGTGATAAAAAGTAAGGGATACAACAACATCAAAATATAAAAAATAAAATGAGGCAATTCAGCTAGAAGATTTTGAAAAGTAGTATATGTGTAAGATGTATTGCCAGTGTTCTATGTGTCAATCTTTCATCCCATCGAGTTTCAGACAAAAAGTCTCTAACGGCCTCTACCGTTCACATATCATCCACTCGAGAAGAATCCAGATTAAACCACAGAACACTAAGCATTCAAACTTAGCACATTTATGTTTTACTTTATTGCACCCATCAGTAAAAACAGCACCCTAAGCTTAATCTTTAGGTGTATAGTATAAACATCAATGTATATATAACAATCAGTTGAATCACATAATGGTTTAAGGACAGTATTTCATCAGTTATGACTATATATAACAAAATTTATAGATTGTTTTGATTAATTAAACAAGTCTTCTTGTGTTGTATATATATTTAAGAACACTATCAAGTATAGATTTATTTTCAGTATTGTTTAACATAGTGTTTCCATTAAGAAGTGTTTTGGTATCAAGATTAACCGGACACACTTCAAAAATCTCATTTATTAAAGTTTTTCTCTCGTCAGTATACATTGGACATTGAAAAGATAATGGGTAGCAGTTTCATAAGCATCACCACACAGACAAGATGGAGACTCATTCAAGTGATCTTTGAACAGATCATAGTTCAGGTTGCTCGCCTCATTTCTCAGTTGACATAAGATTATGTTACCCTTTCTGCTTTCACAATTTTTAAATACATCCGAGATATCATTATTAAAACATATTTCATTATATACATTGGCCTTAAATATTAAGAGTAGGGGAATGTACTGTATCATTTTCAAGTCCATTGAACTTGTTGCACATTATTGGGAAGAAGCTTTTAGCATAGGATTCTGTACGATATAGTGGTGGGTTAAACATTCTTACATTTCTTAGAGTATACCGATCATTTTCTGGGTTATGAATAAGAGGATCAATTATGTCATGGAGGTATGTGGGTGATAAATTGTTAGTTATTTTATACATCTGAATTAGCTTATGGTTCATCATACGATCAGACAGAGATTCCCAGCCTAGTTCTTTATATAGAGTTTGGTGTGATGTACCTTTCCTTAGGCCTGTGATAATCCTTGCAGCTTCTAGTTGTCGGATTCTAATATTTTTTAAGATTGTCAGAGCAGTTGTCCAAGACAATATCTGCATATTCAAGCATTGGACGGATACATGTTGTATATATTTTGCATAGTGATTTCCTATCAATTTTATATTTCAGATACCTAAGCATGTTTATTCTTTTACAAGCCTCTTCATATATTAATTGAACATGGATAGACCAAGTGCCATCTTCAGAAAAAGTTAATCCAAGATGCAATATGACCAACAGGGACGGCCTACTACTACGATGTATGATAATCGTGACGATTTTGATTTTCCGGACGTGTGTTTTCCTTTCTTGATAATTACATCCCTGCCCAAACCCTACAGTGTTTATATGTCTCAGCTGATTCAATAGTCGAGAGCTGTCTCCCAATATCACGCTTTCCATGTTAGATACCGGTTACACATGGACAAACATGTTTCAAGGTCGCCATCATAATCTCGTCGGAAATTATTACATTTCCTGGAATAGCATGACATGAATATTAACGAAATCAATACTTATATTCATAAGTCTGCCCTGTGGTTTCCTTGTAACTGCCGCAGATCCTACCTAATTGAAAGATGTTTCATAAAACTAGGAAACATAGCTTTAATTCATGGCAAGATACATGTATCTGTAATATAATTTGTAAAATATTTAATGATATATTTATTTCGTTCAATGCACAGACAACAAGTTTCTCCTTCAGTTTGTGAAATTTGATCAGCAAGTGTAGGATAATGGTAACATAAATTCGTAGATAGAATTGCCTTGAGTCATTCACAGGGTCACGTTACAAATGTCTGAAATACACATATGCTATACTGATAGGGGTCACAACACACATGTATGTTTATGTGTGTTGTGACCCGTATCAGTATAGCATATGTGTGTAACGTGACCCTGTGAGTCATTT